TATCTTAAAAAAAATAAAAATTATATATATATATATATATATATATATATATATGTTTAAGTCAGCAAGGAGGGAGTGTTTGCTTAAAAAACCTTTAACAAATTTTAGGTAAGTTTTTTTTCTTTCTATAAATGCACACAGGAAGTGAACTACAGACTTTGGCCTGTATTACTGGCATCGACTTGACGTGGTGAACTGTGAATTTTGCAATTAAACACTTGTGCAATTGACTAATCCTGAGGATGTGATGTAATTTGGTTGACGTAACACATCTGCACATCTAAATGCATTTCAACTTCTGTTAGTACCCATTTTAAGTTACGATATGTGATAAAGGTCTCTCTAGATGTTTTACTGTGGTAATCTCAAGTGTTCTTTCTCTTTATGTTACAGAAAAAGAGATGCACTATTACAGATATGAAAATGCAGAGGTCAGCTGTTGCTACAAATACCTCATGTTCAGCTACAACATTATCTTTTGGGTAAGTTGACGTTTGATACGTTTTTCACTGCAAATCATGTTTAAATGGCCACCCTTCCAGTTCTAACATTAGATAAGGTATTTTCTGCCACTCTTGCTCAGATGACATGATCTGTAGACCGGCCCCACATTTCATGATTATTTGTTCCACTTAGTTTCACGCTGTGTGCACAGATGTTTCATTTCTTTCTGTGTTTTCATTACTGGGTGGGTCATTTCACAGCAAGTGAACACCCACAGCTGATACTTTATATATCAAGAGAAAAAGTCAGCCTGATGACATTCAGGTTTTCATATTTACGTCAACAGGAAACAGATTAACACTAGCGTATTGCTGCAGTAGTTTGTGGTGTCTTCTGTGGGAAGCATGGGAGGTTTCTGAGATAACAGCTTCTAACCTATTTTCCTGTTTTCAATACTGAACATGGCTCCTCCTGTGAAACAAGCATTGTTATTACTGCACAGTGTGTTATGAACACATGACCTGTTTTAGATATGAATAATAAGTCTAACACTTTATTTTCCATACTTTTAAAGCTTTTTATCTTTAGTATGTTCAAAAATTGTATACACTACTGTTCAAAAGTTTGGGGTTGTTTAGATTTGGTTTGACGCATATTAATCTAACGAACCTCAAACTTTTCAGTGGTAGTGTATTTGAACTTTATTATTGCAAACAGTGTTGCTTTGGTCTAATTTCTTGGTGTTCTAGACATTAGTCACATCTGCATCGTCTGCTTTAACCACACACTCAGTTGTTTTGTCTGAACTTGAGTATTCTGATGCAACATTTAATCATTTAATTTCTCCTAAACCTCTTCTGGTTCTCAGCTAGCTGGAACAGCGTTCATTGCAATTGGCTTCTGGGCCTGGAGTGAAAAGATACCATTAAAAACAAAAACAAAAAAAAAACAGGTAGCCCATCTGATTTAGGACATTTAGGCTATCCATCTAATAGTAGCCTACCAAAATCTTATTAACAGTCGAAGTTAAATCTTACTGTAGTCTTCAAATCTGGGTACTGTCTTACGTTTTAAAATCACAAAGGGAGTTTGGTCCCATCAGGCTAATGTGACAGTCACGACTCATGCAGCTGTAAGGTTTGTTTTTATTCGCGATCTTTACAACACGCATTACATTACGTATTTCATGGCACACTCGTTTTATGCGTATTTGGCGCCACCTAGTGTTGTGGGTGTATTATTGACATGTCAAAGTCTAGACCCTGAATATAAGACGACCGAGTTTTTTCAGATGTATTTCCAAGAAAAAAACATCATCTTATATTCGGGACAATACGGTATTTAAAAAAATGCAGTGATCTAAACTGCATAACTACCTACATACACCACTGTTAAAGGTTTGGGTCAGTAAAATTTAATATTATATTTTACAATATTAACGTTTTACTGTATTTTTGATCCAATAAATGCAGCCTTGCTGAGCATAAGAGATTTCATTCAAAATCATAAAAAAAAAAAAAAAACGTATCAACTTCAGACTTTTGAATGGTAGTCCGCAATTAATCTGCAAAAAAACACTGCTAGTTATGTAGCTGTGAGTGTGTTTTAGTGGCTCAGGGAAAAACAACCAGTGTAAACCGTTTGTTCCTTGATTTGCCCACAGGGTGTTTTATCAGATCTGACACAAGTTACACGTCTGCATGGTTTTGACCCAGTTTGGGGGGTGCTTGTTGTGGGCACAGTCACTTTCATTTTGGGATTTGCTGGGTGTGTTGGAGCTCTCAGGGAAAACATCTGCCTTCTTAAGTTTGTAAGTACTCATACTTTCGATGTGATACTGAAGCCATCACATATGCTGGTCAATTCTAAATAAAGAAGTCTCCAAAGAAAATTTTTACATGCCTTGCAATGCCAGATCTGTACAATATAAGAACTCGAAGATGTGTTAATGCAAACAGTTTCCAGACATAAAAATGAACAAATTCTATTATGCTGTCAAATGCTGCTTTTTGATTTTTCGCCTTGCTTCTTGACCTTGTCTTGCAGTTCTCTGGAGTCATTGGCTTCATCTTCTTCCTGGAGTTGACGGCTGCGGTGTTGGTGTTTGTGTTCCAGGGCCAAGTTAGGGAGTGGATCAATGATTTCTTCTTGGCCAATGTAAAGGCCTACAGGGAAGACATTGACCTGCAGAATCTGATTGACTCCCTCCAGAAACTGGTAAAGTCTGAGAGAGTTTTTAAGTATAAGATAATTTTCATTAAATAAAATGAATGCTTTCTATTTACTCAACTTGCCAACCACCACATACATATTATACGTGAAAAAAAAAAAACACTGTATGCTTCACTACTCGCTTTTTACATGTCTTTTCACAAGTACTTGCTTAAATAATTAATGTTTAATTAACAAGTATTATTTAACCTGAACAAAACCATAAAGAGAATGAAAAAGCCATAGATGGCTAGTAGTGGACACATCGCTTTTATGTTTTCTCAAATAAATGTTTTACATTTTCCAAAATATAAATTATTATTGGTGTAATTTGGGGGATTTTGATGAAGCCATATGGCCTAATGCTTGTGAAAGTCTGGTAAAAGGTGGCCATAAGAAATTCCATCACTAATACATATGCACAATTGTGGCTAAATTGTTGCGGGTTCTGAACGTACATGTTTTTTTCCCCCGCAGAATCATTGCTGTGGAGCTAAAGACCCCAACGACTGGAATCTAAATGTGTATTTTAACTGCTCAAAGGATAACCCCAGCAGAGAGAAATGTGGAGTGCCCTTTTCCTGCTGCATCAGCGACCCTGCTGTAGGTTCTTCTCTTATTCACAGCAGCCCTCCACAGAATAAAGAGATCGTTTCAGCATGCTGCACTCTCATAAAAGTACTGTTTAAAAGAACCCATTGTGCTTTAAACTCGAAGGCCAAGTATGTGGAAGACTCCCTCTGCTTGTGGTGGAATAATTCACCCTTATGGCATTCCAAACCTGTATGACGGGTGTATTTACAGATGTTCAAAGAATTTTAACTTGTATTTTCAGTTAAAAAGTTAACTGCCATTATACTATTAAACAGCCAATATATTATTAAAAATATATATTTTTTGTCTTCCACAGAGCATGGTTTTGTAACAACATGAGAGTGAGGAAGTGATGACAGAATTTAGATTTCCCTGTGAATCCCTTTTAACATGCTGATACAGTTTTTTTTTTCTGGAAACTAAAATAGTTAATATTGACCATAAAACTTTGTCTCTTGTGCACAGGTTATGACTTGTTTTGGTTTAAATTTATTAATGCATGGATTTTTTCCCCCCATTATAAATCACTTTACAGTGAATATAGGCCTAATTTGAATGAACCTATGACTTTTCTTTACAGGATACAGTGGTGAACACGCAGTGTGGATATGATGTTAGAATATCTGGCACACCGGTGAGTGCATTTTGAACATTTGTACTAGAAAGACAGATATTTCATTCTTTGCCATTGTTGGCAAAAGTTCTGCTTCAGTACACGTTCCCTTCCAAATGTGAAAGATGTAGAGCGAGTTCATGCTTCAGAAAGTGGAATAAATTAAAACACTTGTCAGCTTCTGTGCACCAGAAAATGTAGTTTTTGAAATTAAAGTCAAGTTTCCAAGGTTCAGTTTCTCTGATGGGAGCACTAATATCTGTCAGTATGAAAATTGCATTTTCACGAATGGGGCATGTTAAAGTTGTTTTGTTCTTCCGCTCTCCTCTCATAATCATTCTTTTTTTGTGCTCTGTTGGTAGTAGGGAAATAGCAATTGGGAGAGCAGAATACCTGCAGAGAATAAACTTGTAAATTTTAAAGGGGTCATATGATGCTTTTTTAAAGATTATTATTTTGTGTATTTGGTGTAACAGAATACGTTGACATGCTTTAATGTTCAAAAAACACATTATTTTTCAAATACTGTACATTATTGTAAGTCCTCTATGCCCCGCCTCCCTCAAACGCTTCGTTTTCTACAAAGCCCCCTCCTT